GACATCTCATCTCTTTGATAGATCTTCCGTTCATTAGTTGTATTAGGAGTCCATGTTTGGTAATGGTAGCACAATGTCTCCTAAGACATACAGTTTATATATACACATACATATATTGATTACTTTGGAGAGGTTGGACACAGTGTACAGCTTATCCTGAGTAGAGACAGGGATATTGATCACTTGTTGTGACTAGTCAGTAACTGCTTTCTTCACTTTTGTGTGTTTGTATATGTATGTGTGCGTGCACACCAACGTGCATGCGTGTTCGTCAGTGCATTTGTAAGAGTCTGTATCTGTCTGTAGGGGAAGTGTGAGTGTGTGCATGTGTGCCTGTGTAAGTGAATGTATATTTGTATGAATATGTGAGAGTGTAAACGAGTGAGTGCCTGTGCAGATACGTCTGTGTAGGTTGATGTTGATGTAACTCTTTAGCAACGCACCTGACGAGATGCCTGGAGTAAATTATGCAAAGTTTTGTTTGTGGCCACATTATTTAAAAATTATGTAATTTTGCTTGAATTGATGTCATGGCTTAAACAAAATCTCTTGTTTATCAGAAGGGTGAGCTCTTCTTTAGTTTGTTAGTTAATTAGTGAACTAATTATCCTCATGGCACATCAGATAAATCCATAAGCACTCGCATACCATCTTTAGTATATCCCTCTGCGTGTGGTGAGTGATAACACCAGTTTTACTCTTCTTTAGGGCAGTGAAACTTGCTGCCTTATTTGTACCAGGAGAAAGAGCTAAATAGCTTTCACATTGCAGTGCTTAAGAAGTTTACTTAGGCATTATTTGGGCAAGACAAGATCACAAATACAAAGTTATCGGAAACAGCTGCTGTCACAAGTTTTCTTGGTGCTCAGTCGTTGAGGTCTTAGATGGCTAGGTTAGACTAAGAGAATGTAAGGACCCTAGACTCCCCAAGGACACCCTCTATGGCAGTGGTCTCCAACCATTCTCAGGTGGTGCCCCCCTTGAATGTATGGCTAGGACACCCCCTCCCCCCCCCCCCCCCATACACACACACACATTATAATGTGATTGAGGTTATCTTCACAGCACTCTGGACAGATCCATTGGTGCTCTGAGTTCCCCTTTGAAATTGACATCAGCATCCTTTGGTTAATAGTGCCAGTCCTGTGCTGGTCAACAAAGACTTCTTGCACCTCTGGTGTGCTGATCTTTACTCCCAGTTCTCGTATTTTTAGCAATGATGTGGATACGCTGTTCCCAAAATTGTCCTCTCTCTCTAAGGGCATTAACAATGTCGGAGTGATCCATAGGCTGGCCATCTGCAGCTGAGGCAGAACCAGCCAGTCTGTCAGCTCTTTCATTGCCAACAGCATCTGCAGGAGAAAATAGGATTAAAAGGAGGATGAAAAGGAAAAATCCCAAGTACTGTTAACAAGAACTTCAGGTTAGGGTTAAGGTTAAGGTTAGGGTTAGAGTTAGGGTTAAGGTTAGGGTTAAGGTAAGGGTTAGGGTTAAGGTAAGGGTTAGAGTTAGGGTTAAGGTTAGGGTTAAGGTAAGGGTTAAGGTTAGGGTTAGGGTTAGAAAAACATGCACATATTTCAGAGTGTGAAGTAACAAAACAAACAAAACATCAACAACTGGTAATTTAGTGTCCAAATATCAGTGTGATGGTTGACACTGTTTTGTTTTAGTTTCCGGGGATTCCATATCTGTACTACTGAACATCGTTGTTTTGTTTTAGTTCCTGGGGTTCCATGTTTGTACTACTGAACATCGTTGTTTTGTTTTAGTTCCCGGGGTTCTATGTTTGTACTACTGAACATCGTTGTTTTGTTTTAGTTCCTGGGGTTCCATGTTTGTACTACTGAACATCGTTGTTTTGTTTTAGTTCCCGGGGTTCTATGTTTGTATTACTGAACATCGTTGTTTTGTTTTAGTTCCTGGGGTTCCATGTTTGTACTACTGAACATCGTTGTTTTGTTTTAGTTCCCGGGGTTCTATGTTTGTACTACTGAACATCGTTGTTTTGTTTTAGTTCCTGGGGTTCCATGTTTGTACTACTGAACATCGTTGTTTTGTTTTAGTTCCCGGGGTTCTATGTTTGTACTACTGAACATCGTTGTTTTGTTTTAGTTCCCGGGGTTCTATGTTTGTACTACTGAACATCGTTGTTTTGTTTTAGTTCCCGGGGATTCCATATTTGTACTACTGAACATCGTTGTTTTGTTTTAGTTCCCGGGGTTCTATGTTTGTACTACTGAACATCGTTGTTTTGTTTTAGTTCCCGGGGATTCCATGTTTGTACTACTGAACATCGTTGTTTTGTTTTAGTTCCGGGGGATTCCATATTTGTACTACTGAACATCGTTGTTTTGTTTTAGTTTCCGGGGATTCCATATTTGTACTACTGAACATCGTTGTTTTGTTTTAGTTCCCGGGGTTCTATGTTTGTACTACTGAACATCGTTGTTTTGTTTTAGTTCCCGGGGTTCTATGTTTGTACTACTGAACATCGTTGTTTTGTTTTAGTTCCCGGGGTTCTATGTTTGTACTACTGAACATCGTTGTTTTGTTTTAGTTCCCGGGGTTCTATGTTTGTACTACTGAACATCGTTGTTTTGTTTTAGTTCCCGGGGTTCTATGTTTGTACTACTGAACATCGTTGTTTTGTTTTAGTTCCCGGGGATTCCATGTTTGTACTACTGAACATCGTTGTTTTGTTTTAGTTCCCGGGGATTCCATATTTGTACTACTGAACATCGTTGTTTTGTTTTAGTTCCCGGGGATTCCATATTTGTACTACTGAACATCGTTGTTTTGTTTTAGTTCCCGGGGATTCCATATTTGTACTACTGAACATCATTGTTTTGTTTCTGTGACAGCTTCGAAGAAAGAGAAGCTTGCCTGATGCTTCAAGCAAGAAAGTCTAGCATTTGATACCAAAACATCTAGTTGGAGACATAAATATCAGTTGTTGGAGGTGGGGTCGGGGAGGGGGGGGGGGGTGGGGGTTGGGGAGTCCTTATATTGTTTGGTAGGCCCTATTTCTACACCACACCACCCTAAACATAGGCAGTAATGAGAGTTATTTCTTGGAGTTCCATATCTGAACTACAGAGCATCATTGTTTTGTTTCTGTGACAGCTTCAAAGAAAGAGGAGCGCGCTACACACTGCTACAGCTGTCACAGGTAGTTATCTCTACATAACGTTTGTCGAGTTGGTGCTTGTTTTAAGTCACTCAGAATGCAGAATATTTTAAAAATATATATATATCATGGAATGGCAAGTCACTGTGGTGTAGCGCTTGACACGTGTCCACAGATCAGAAGATTGTGTGTTCGGTCCTTGTAATGATGCTATAAATAGGGATAACGTCAGGGGATGACTGGCATAATTGGGTAAGTCCCTGAGAGCATGGGTTTCACGGAGATATGGTAAAAAGACAAGAGTGAGTAAGTCACGTGTGAATGCGAGATCTGGGGGATTGAGAATCAGGCGGGCATTCAGTGACTAGGCCCCAGACTGGAAGGATATGCAACTGAATCTGTGAAGATGAATCCAGAATGAAGAGAGCACGTGAATCTGAATCAGAGTCAAATGAATGATCGTGAAGACCAGCTGTTGTGTTACACTGTTTGATTGTTGAGCCAGCCGTGAATATGCCAGTGTCCATCGTCTGAAGCATGTCTGGAGCATTAAAGCGTGAGCAAGGCGAGATTGCCTGAATGGTGTAAGTTGATTCTACTGTTTGATTCGTGTCTTGTGCTACAGTGATAATAAACTCGTGAAATGTGTCAGCTGGTGTCAACCGTCGTTTGAAGTCATGTGACTGTGGAGAGAAATGCCGTCTGGTTAGATTGAGCTGTGACCTAACCTCTAGACAACAGAGTCAGTGTTGAATCTGCACTAGAGAGATCAAGTGTGGAGGAGACACAAGTGCATTCATTACAGTCCTGATAGAGCCGGACCTTTTTTTCCTTTAAAAAAATGATCCCAGGTTGACCGAGCCTTTAGTGGGTACCAGATGCAGGAAGTAACGCTGGCCTGCTGCTAACCACACAATCCACAAAGTGTTGATTGGTCTATAAAATATAGGTCTAGCCCTATATGCCCAATAGCCTGAAGACATGGAAAATGGTCCTTTACGTTTACTAATATATTATGGAATCATTGCTTGTGTTTATGTAGTCTTTGAAAAGATGGATTTGTTTTAGAGTTAATATTTGTGTCAGTAGTGTAGTGACTTGTGCACCTCAGTACTAAATTTATTCACTAAACATCATCTGTGCTGTCTCTTCTTCCCATTATGAGAGCAACAAGACCATATATGTAGGTATTTTAGTCAGCTACTAATTTGGATGCATGGTGTGACACTGTAAGCTGCAGATTTAATTTGAAGTGATTATTTTACTCTGCCAAGTGTGGTTTGTGTTGTGAACTGCAGATTAAGAAAATGGCGAGTGGCCTGTTGTCGCAGAATTGGTGATGCCTCATGCATTTAGTTGTGTGAATTTACATATGTTTTGTTGTTACTTCTGCTTCTGTCAATGATGAACTGCATTTATAGTGCTGGACTGTGTGTGTTGGTGCTTCTGACAGCTGCCTTATACATTTAATGCATGTATATGCTGTTGGCTTTGCCATGAGTGCAGTCTGCGTCAGTGGTTTCACAATGGATAGTCTTCTTCTTCGCATTCACCAGCTGTAAACTCTGGCGGAAGGTTCTGGTTGCTCGTTCACTACTGAACTGCAGTCCTGCTCCAGAAGCTGAGTGTTGCGTGTGCATCAGTTTTACAGATCTCAATCTCTTGAATACAGACTGTTGGTTCCTTGCCTCTCCGGCAGATGTACTCCGACTTCAAAGGAAGCTCCCCAATTAGTCGACTCTTACGACATGCTTTTGGGAAGGCAGTGGGTCTATTCTTGTTTTCCCCACAATGGGGCCCCGGAACCCACACGGGGGACAATGGATAGTGATATGCATTCTGTATGGTTTTCATTGGCACAAGAACGGAGCACAAGTGGGTTAACGTCTTTTCTGTGACATTAGAACTGCGATTACCTGATTGCCAGTTTAACTCTTTGAGTCCCAGGAGGTTAAGCCTCACAGGCCCAAGGGTCAAGAAAGACGTAAAATCGGCGCCTCTTGCATTCATTGGGCTTCTAGGTAGAAATCTATGAACGTAGGATGCGTTTCTTTTGACTAACAGTATAAAATATTCTTAAATATCCTAGGGTAGAAGGCGAATGTTGGCAACTGTGACTTAAGCCTTGTGAACACACTTTGTAATGTCAGGTTCGATTCCAGCTGTGGAGGATTTGTCTTACATTGGTTTCAACAAAGGTACTGGTCAGAAAGCAATGGCAAACTATAAAATGAAAAATTGGCCCAGAAAAACCACAACAGCCAAATAATGTTGGGTTTGCGGTGCTTTATTAATATTTTACCCCAAACAACGGAAATCGACAGGTCACGGGATAGTCTAATATTTCAGGAGGTGGGAGATAGGCTGCATGCAGTCGTGGGACCTTGGTTGCATGCATTTATGGGACCTAGGATGCACTCTCTTGTGGGATGTAGGTGGGTTAGGGTTAGGGCCAGTTCTAGATGTTTTGGGGTCATTAAAAGCATCAAAGCGGGGAAACCCAGTCCCACCACCCTCTAAAATGTTGAACAGTCCTGTGACGTCATCTGGGGAAGGATATTAATAAAGAACCGGAGTTGCTTCCGCAACGTACTGTAAAAGATACACAACTAATTTGATGAGGAATTTGTGAATAAGTAAATACGCTGTTTGATGCATCTGATCATTATTGTCTGCACTTATCTGCAACAGAGTCAAGCAAGAGTCGGTGTGATTGCTGCCAGTGCAGGCAACCATGCCTTGGCTCTGTCCTATCATGGCCAACTGCTCAACATCCCTGTGACTGTGGTCATGCCGGTCACCGCCCCAATGATGAAGGTGGAGGCCTGCAAGCAGTATGGGGCAAAGGTCATTGTGCTGGGCAAGGATTTCGGAGAGGTGAGCTCATCACTGGTCAGCTGATTTTAAATTGGGTCCATTGCGAAAGAAAAAGTGTGATGTTGAATGCAAGAAGTCCTGGTATATGAAACTACAACATCTAGTTTGAGAACAGAAGTTGATACAAAAATATGAATTGATGAGATGCCCTTATGTTGTTTGGTGCCTCCTATTTCTACCTCTGTTGTCTCTTTCTCTGAGTGCCTGTCAGTAGTTCTAAATTTATTTATAATGAATTACTAGTATGTGGCTATCCTTTCTAAATATGGTTATATTCAGCAGGAACAATATGGTAGAAGAAGACAATTAAAAATTTATTGCAAAATCTAAGATTGAAACAAATGTTTCAGAATGGGACTTGGATATGATAATTAAGGTGCTTTAGTGCTATAAATAGACACAACCATGCTAAAACATAATCCCTTTCTTTTCCGTTCTTCGATGTTACTTGGTAACCACCAAGACCCCATATAACCTTATGGTTGAACAGGGTTTAGCAGGATTTGTGTGTGTAAGATTCTCATCTTTAAGGTGTTAATGGCCTAGACACCTGGAGGGGGCGCACTGCAACCGCTAAAGCATATACAGTATTTAAAAAAAAAAGAAGAAGAAGAAAGTAAAAGAGCCTTGTCTTGCCAGGGATGCATCATGCTAACTGTATATTTAGATAGACTTATTGTCCTGGTGATGTGGTCAACATCCTGGCAGCTGCCTTTATGTCCCAGGACATTTCCTGTCAGAGACAAGGCCAACCCAAGAGCTGTGATCAGTTATTAGAAAATTCATTACTGTGTGGACTTGATCCTCAGACCTCTGTGCCAACAGACAAGTGTCTAGTCACTACACTGTTACTTTTGCAGTATAAAGATATCCTGGAGAGAAAAGTTCAGGTCCAACCTGTAGCAGTGTTACATTTGGACAGCACTTTTTTATTTTTCTGGCAGCTTTAGTCTGTGGTAAGTACCGGCACCTTTTTTTTCTAGAAGAGAAAAAGTCCAACATTTGTGTGAACAACAAGGAGCAGTTGTAGTAGTGGAGTGTAAAGATACAAAAGGTAGAAAAAAAGTTGGAGACTCATCACCTCTGACCTTGGATATAATGATGATAGAATACATGCTTGTAAAATCCAGTGAATTGTAAATTGTTAAAGTCAACTTTGTTTGTTTATGCTCAAAACTACAGGCCAAGCAGTATGCAATGTTGTTGAGCCGGCGGAAAGGTCTGCTTTATATTAATGGGTGAGTCTCTGTCACTGCTACAATGAGATAGGCACAACTGAGTCACTCACAGTGCAAGTTAATAATGGCTGTTACATGAGAAGTTGATACCTAGGACTTTTATGTATCATATGCACAATTGAGTCATTCACAGTGCAAGTTATTAATGGCTGTTACATGAGAAGTTGATACCTAGGACTTTTATGTATCATATGCACAATTGAGTCATTCACAGTGCAAGTTATTAATGGCTGTTACATGAGAAGTTGATACCTAGGACTTTTATGTATCATATGCACAATTGAGTCATTCACAGTGCAAGTTATTAATGGCTGTTACATGAGAAGTTGATACCTAGGACTTTTATGTATCATATGCACAACTGAGTCATTCACAGTGCAAGTTATTAATGGCTGTTATATGAGAAGTTGATACCTAGGACTTTTATGTATCATATGCACAACTGAGTCATTCACAGTGCAAGTTATTAATGGCTGTTACATGAGAAGTTGATACCTAGGACTTTTATGTATCATATGCACAATTGAGTCATTCACAGTGCAAGTTATTAATGGCTGTTACATGAGAAGTTGATACCTAGGACTTTTATGTATCATATGCACAACTGAGTCATTCACAGTGCAAGTTATTAATGGCTGTTACATGAGAAGTTGATACCTAGGACTTTTATGTATCATATGCACAACTGAGTCATTCACAGTGCAAGTTAATAATGGCTGTTACATGAGAAGTTGATACCTAGGACTTTTATGTATCATATGCACAATTGAGTCATTCACAGTGCAAGTTATTAATGGCTGTTACATGAGAAGTTGATACCTAGGACTTTTATGTATCATATGCACAACTGAGTCACTCACAGTGCAAGTTATTAATGGCTGTTACATGAGAAGTTGATACCTAGGACTTTTATGTATCATATGCACAACTGAGTCACTCACAGTGCAAGTTATTAATGGCTGTTACATGAGAAGTTGATACCTAGGACTTTTATGTATCATATGCACAACTGAGTCATTCACAGTGCAAGTTAATAATGGCTGTTACAGGAGAAGTTGATACCTAAGACTTTTATGTATCATATGCACAACTGAGTCATTCACAGTGCAAGTTAATAATGGCTGTTACAGGAGAAGTTGATACTATGGACTTTTATGTATCATATGCACAACTGAGTCATTCACAGTGCAAGTTATTAATGGCTGTTACATGAGAAGTTGATACCTAAGACTTTTATGTATCATATGCTCAACTGAGACATTAACAGTGCAAGTTAATAATGGCTGTTACATGAAAAGTTGATACCTAGGACTTTTAAGTATCATATGCTCAACTGAGTCATTAACAGTGCAAGTTAATAATGGCTGTTACATGAAAAGTTGATACCTAGGACTTTTAAGTATCATATGCACAACTGAGACATTAACAGTGCAAGTTAATAATGGCTGTTACATGAAAAGTTGATACCTAGGACTTTTATGTATCATTCACCTTTTGAATCTCTTGAATCAAATGGCTGAAAAATTAACAGTACAAGGCATTGAAAGCTCATGAAGATGTAGCTAAAACTTTAATTGTTGCTGATTTTGGAACTCTTTCAATGCGGAAGGCATTAATTTAACCTAAATCAGCGGTTCTCAACCTATCAGTCGCCACCCCTTTAAGGATCGAACGACCATTTCACAGGGGTTGCCTAAGACCATTGGAAGACACATATTCACTTATGAAGTAGCCGGAAAAATAATTCTATGTGGCAACAACATGAAGAACTGTATCAAAGGGTCACAGCATTAGGAAGGTTGAGAACCCCTGACTTAGATTGTCCTAAACTTTTGTCACCTAAAGTCATGGCCGAGTCTGAACAGGTTCAAACAGAACAGCTATGGCACAACCTATAAATCAATCCTATTTTTCACTTGCGAGGTTGAGATATACTCTTCAACACCCTCTGTATGAGGCCCTAGAACTTACACATGGAGACAGTACATAAGACAAAAAGTTGTGATCAAACAGGATGACCGACACGACATAGGTTCACAAGATGTTTGGCCTTATTTGACTGTATGGGTTCCCCCAGGTATGATCACCCCCACATCGTGGCAGGCCAGGGCACCATGGGCCTGGAGATCATTGAGCAGGTTCCTCAGCTGGATGCCTGCATCATCCCTGTTGGTGGTGGGGGTCTCATTGCTGGCACTGCTGTTGCTCTCAAGTCCCTGAAGCCAAGTGTGCAGATCATCGTAGGTTGTCATTGTTGTGTTGTACAGTGGGTTGTTGTTGTTGTACAGTGGGTTGTCATTGTTGTGTTGTACAGTGGGTTGTCATTGTTGTGTTGTACAATGGGTTGTCATTGTTGTGTTGTACAGTGGGTTGTCATTGTTGTGTTGTACAATGGGTTGTCATTGTTGTGTTGTACAGTGGGTTGTCATTGTTGTGTTGTAGTGGGTTGTCATTGTTGTCATGGGGATAGTCCTATATTTTATAGGGTGGTTTCCTAGTTTTGTTTTGCTTTTAACTACCCCGAAACATCTAGAACTGGACCTAACCTTAACCCACCTGCGTCCCACGAGAGAGTGCAGCGTAGGTCCCATGACTGCATGCAGCCTATCTACCACCCCTAAAATATTAGACTGTCTGTCTGGGGTGAATAATTAAGAAAGCACCAAAAAGTGCAGGTCTCTCTTCAGTCTAGTGCTAGGCTAATTAATATTTATAGACCAATCAGCCCATTACTTCCCAGGACGTTACCTGGTACCAGTTTTAGTCTGGTTTAACCTGGGAGCCGAGGTCTTTAAAAAAAAGAAGACTTCATGCGGATTTCAACTGGAGACATTCGGGACAGCAGGTAGAGCATCTAGCTGCTACACTACCACAGCTCGCTCCTGTTGTGCTGTTAGAGGAGATAACTGCAGCCTGCCATTGTCTTGTTTTACAGTATCAGTAATTGTTCTTGATTCTCTTGAAGGTGTGTTTCACTGCATCACTAAATTAACACTGTTGCATTGATGTGTGCTTTAGGGGGGGGGGGGGGGGTATTGGCCATATTATGCTAGACCTAAGTTTGTATAGGTGAATCAGAACTCTGTGTGTGTTGTGGTCAGGCCACCATTATTTCTAGTGATATTACCAGTACATTTTGTAAGGTTGGGTTCACCTAGAAGTTATGGTCAGTTGTGATGGGGGTGGAGGAGGGGGGGGGGGGGGGGGGGGGGGAGAGGACACATGTCCTGTTGATGATTTGAATCCTAGACTTCCGGTTGCCATGCAAGCTGTAGTTACCACCCTATCGTCTTCTTTAATGACAGGGCACTTGATGATGGTGATGATGATGATGATGATGATAACACTTAACATATCCCAGAATGACCTTATGCAAGTGTGGATTCACAAGATGACCAGGAACAGTGTTTGTATTCTGTGGGTGGGAGTCGCTATAATAGCATTATTTGTAGGCTGAATGTCATGACACATATTACATACACTCACACATACACACACACAGTCATGCACAAGCACACCACACAAACATGCACACTCACACCAGACACACATGCATGCTCACACCACACACACATGCATGCACACACGCTCACTCCACACACACACACACGCATACACGCACAAACACACACACTCATATATATATATATAAAATGTTTTCTATGACTGTTTTTCCTGCAGGGTGTGGAATCTGAGAGAGCCACAGGGTTTCAGGCAGCCTTGGCGGCAGGCAAGCCAATCTACAGCCATGTTGGGCAGACCCTGGCAGACGGTAAGTGCCACTGAGGTAGACAGTACTCCAGTCTCTGGGCCAGCTCTGTCCTCTGCTTCAACCCAGCAGCTTGAACCTGAGACACACATTAACTGGGGGTTGTGTCTACCAGAGACCATCAACAAGTGGTTTGGACATTTGATGAGCATGACACTTGATCATAACAAGAGACAGGAAGTGACAACTACCCCTTGTGTGGGTTCGGGGACCCCATTTTGGGGGAAAACAGAATAGACACACTGCCTCCCTAACAAGCATGTGGAACAAGGGGTCTAAATAGGGGAGTTACATTTGAAATGGGAGTGTGTCTGAGAGGTAAGAAATCAACATCTGCATCCAAATAAGCCGGATCTGCAAGGTGTAATGTGCAAGAGAAACTAAAATTACAAAACAAGACCAAAGTACTGAAGTGGATGAACAACCAGAACTTTTTGCAGGGGTTTGGTAAGCGCTAAGAAGAGGAAGAAGAAGAATATCTGTTGGAGCTGGTTGCACTGAGCCGCAGGTCTGATGAAACACATAACTTTATTTCATATTGTGATTCCTAGTACAGGTTTTAGTGCCCCATTTTGGTTGAAAAATGTCAGACCAACTGCTCCCTAACAAACATATAATAAATACAACCTGACGTAGTCGAGATTTTAACATCACTGCAGTTGCGTTCCCCATGCTTGCTCCATTCCTGTGCCAGTGAAAATCAAATGAAATGTGCCTCATTGTCCTGTTTGAAAAATCTGGTGAACAAACAATTAGTCTCAGCACTATCCAGAATTATGCACACAGTGAATGCATATGGCAGTTGCTAGAGGCGGCAAAGCCAACAGTCACTGCCAGAAATAAGGACTATTTAGGGGTTTTGCTTAAATTGGATGTGTTAGCCTAAAAGGCGCAGATATCACAGCCTAGCGGTAAACCACAATACAGTGTGCCAACTAGCCTGTTGAGGATGCATGAAGAAGAAGAGATAGATATCCTGATGACATGGTTTAGCTGCACAAGGATGACTGGTATGTTTGTATGTACCTGCAGGTTTGGCTGTCCCAGTTGTTGGAGTCAATGCCCTGGCCACAGCTCGACCCCTCATTGATAGGATGCTCACAGTCAAGTAGGTTTTTTCAATATTTACATTGTTGCCAGTCATTAACTCTTTTGTTCTCAAAGATTGCATCATACGTTCATAGATTCCTATCTTGAAGCTCAATTAATGCGAGATGCACCCATTTTATGACTCTCTTGACCACCCTTTGGGCCTCTCATGTTAAACCCCTCGGGACTGAAAGATTTCACTCAGTCTTAGCTCTGCATTTTGTATCTTGCCATATTCTAGTCAGTGATGTTTACCCACTGGTTGAGTGAACTTGCTACCATTCCTATCTAGATTATCCCATCTGTGTATCTGTTTCATCCCTCTGGGTTGTCACCTGAAGGGATAGCGGCACTTATGATTCGGCACAATTATAACCTGGATGGCAGACCAACAAGGCAAAACCCAAGTATATAGTTCAACCTCTGAGGAAGTTATAATTAAAGGTAAAGGAGCCTTTTCCACATCTTCAGACGTATTGGGCATATAGGGCTAGACCTGTATTTTATAGACCAGTCAGCATTTGGTGGGTGATTTGGTCAGCATCATGCCGGCCACCTTTACTTCCCAGGACTTGATCTGGTCAACTAAATAGGCTGGCTAGACCAGGGAGCCAAGGTCATTTTTGACAGAGTTTGGCTCCATCAGGATCTGAAACTCTTGACTTTGAATCTGCAGGCAAGCATTTAGTCACTACACCATAGTGGCTCCAAAGTGAGAATTACAACACCCATAATGACTACATCAAGTACTGTCTGTGTATACCTTGCAGTCCTGTGCAGATAAGGATGTTACCCCCAGTTGTTGGATGACATATATCTCAAAATTTCTATCTTGTGCCTCAACAATTTTGTTTCAGATTTTCTCTCATAAATTCTATCTGTTGATTTCTTCAGTCCAGTTTCTGCATCAGGGCTTTAGTCTCTTATAAACTGTCCTCATAGCTTTGATCTCTCATAAACTTTCCTCATAGATTTGATCTCTCATAAACTTCCCTCATAGCTTCGATCTCTCATAAACTTCCCTCATAGCTTTGATCTCTCATAAACTTCCCTCATAGATTTGATCTCTCATAAACTTCCCTCATAGCTTTGATCTCTCATAAACTTTCCTCATGGCTTTGGTCTCTTATAAACTTTCCTCATAGTTTTGATCTCTCATAAACTTCCTTCATAGATTTGATCTCTCATAAACTTCCCTCATAGATTTGATCTCTCATAAACTTCCCTCATAGATTTGATCTCTCATAAACTTACCTCATCGCTTTTATATCTCATAAACTTCCCTCATAGATTTGATCTCTCATGAACTTCCCTTCTCTCATAGCTTTGGCCTCTGACAAATTCTTTCATAGATTTGGCCTTTCATAACTTCCCTCATAGCTTTGGCCTCCCATAACTTTCCCTCATAAATTCACTCAGATAAATGTTGACATCTACCTTTTGTTTAAAAGGCTGGTGCATTTTAAATTTTAAAGATAAAGGTTTATCGACCCTATTATGCTAACATTTTGCAGAACAATCCTTGTCCACCATCCTTTGGTGTGTGCCAATCATACCCACAAATTTATTTTTCAAGTTATTTTGGTTCCTCTGTGATTCTCTATATTTTATCAATCACTCCAGGGGGTTTAACCAACAGACACTTTGGCACCACAATGATACTTTAATAAATAATTGTGGTTAATTCCCTTGACTGGCTAAACTTGCCACCAAAGTTTCTGTCTATAGTATCTTCAGGAAATGTGTGTATTGTGGGCTTTTGATCTCAGAATACAAATGTAAGATATATGTTCCCTCTCCCATTGCCTTTTGTTGGCGTCTTTCCATTTTTTTTATCTGATGATAGTGTTAAATTGTTCTATGAGGAGGTATGAACTCACAGCCCATGGTGATGGCGAGCTAAATTTGTTAGTTATGAAAAATCTTCCATAATTAGAGTAGTGATTTCAGGACCGTTTTGCCATCTTCTTCTTCTTCACTTCTTCTTTTATCGCTGTGGTTGTCGAGGGATATATATGTATTGTCTCCTTCTCAGATCCTCATCTATCATTTTTTCCATTATTCTCATTCCCTTCCTGATGTGCTCCCTTTATGTAACATGGTCAGTGGCATTTTGTTCCCTTTAATTACCTGTACATTTCCAAACATTTGTGTATCATAGTATAGAATTCAACACTTGCAGTTCACTGTAGAGGATACCCTACTGTTTGTCTATCTGGTACCAGTTTTAAATGCAGTGTCAATTCTAGAGCAGAACAGTGAGCACTGCCACTGCTGACGATTTGATTCAGCCTGTTGTCTTGGTAACCAATCTTGGTAATATGCTGCTGAAATCTTAAAGTTAGTAAACTTTATCCATCTGCAAGAAAGCCCTTGGTTCCTAACACTTCCTTATTTATCTTCAAGCATTTGTATTCCAGGGAGTCCAACATTGCCTTGGCCATATTACGTCTGATAGAGCAAGAGAAAGCTGTAGTGGAAGGTGCAGGAGCTGCAGGTTTGGCTGCTGTCATTCAAGGTCTCCTGCCAGAGCTGAAAGGCAAGTGGTAGGTTGATGTCCACCCTTTATACCGCCAGCATTAGTCTTCTCACCCATGTGTTACCAGGGCAGTAAGGAACAGGGAATAATAGCATGACAAGGGAGATGATAGCTGTGACACAGGCTTTCATGTGGCTGGAATCTGGTAATCTTAGCTTCAGCTTCTTAGCAAACGAATCTTCCCATAGTTGCTCCGCTCCTGTGTTAATTAAAAACACACAGAATGTTTATCACAGTCCCTTGTGGAAAGATTGACAGACTGCTGTCTCAGCATATCTAGCATACACATGCATTGATTTGATTTGATTTAAGAACCGACATCACAGCATGGATGGTGGCAGAAGTCACTAACAGATCAGCAGTTGCTCACACAATAAATTTTAATCACATAATGGCACCACCAATATTGCGACAACAGGCATTGCGCCATTTTCTGAATCTACAGTTCACACCACCCCATTTGGGGGCCGTTGAGGTGGAATCACAAGGGCCATTGCCAAAAAGGATGTGTGGAATGATTTCTATGAGCATGATCTGTTGACGGGGGCCTGGCAGACTGTGTAAAAAAGGGGAGTGGATGAGCAATGCACACTCCCCCTGGGGCGTGTGCAGTTACCTTTAAACTTTTTTTCCCAGGGCCCTTCCCATATTTTTGCAAAGGAAGAGCTGATAGGGGCAAGCCGCTTCTGCCCCCGTTACAGTGGCCAGAATTTGGGGGTAAAGATAGCACAGCCAAAATGGGAGAGGCCCCCCGGATGTACAGGAAAAAATTGTTAAACCCGCATAGGAATGACACTATAAATGCAGGATGCTGGGGTATATGTTAAAAAAGGGAATCTG